TTTCTTAAGTTGCTCGTCTGGTGTATGTGATGGTGAATTATTTGAACCGGTGAAGGATTTGGTGAATGAAGATGATGTTAGCGATGTTGTGCAAATTATGCTGTTGTGATGTGAGTGGCGCATATTGTTAGTGATGATAACGGTGAACTTAGTGTCGACGGCTCTGGTGCGGAAGCCCACCAGTGTAGTGTTGACCCTAGTGACGTAACGACGGAAAGTGAAGAAAATGTCAGGTTGATATGTGCATCGTCAGCTACTGAGGCTTATCAGTCTCCCCAAGCCGCGGCGCCTTCAGCTGACACCCGTGAAGAGACTCCAAGCTGGAAATGTGGGTCACGATGTAAATATCCCCAAAAGAGGCGTGACCCCTGATGTACGCCAAGATTCACAGATTATCTCGGAGGCTTTTCTTGTTGCGAAAAGCTCTGACGAGGATATTTATCGCACGGAGAAGGAACCTGTTCCGGGAACACCACCTTCAGGAAGCCTTTATGAAGGGTGTTGTGACCTCCAGGATGGCACTTGTAAAGACAATGTGGATGTATTTGATCATGACGAAGAAGAAGAGCACTTCCTTGTCAGGATTCCCTACGAAGTTCCTGCCACATGTGTTGAAGATACCGACGACGCCGCCGTGCACCTTGGACCCACGGGAGCCCTGGAGGTGGCGCTGCTGGGTGCTTTGCTGCATGATGCAAGCAATGTCCTCAGCGCTGATGGCATAACAACTGATGAGGATATGACGCCATCGAGAGAGGAGAAAGTATTGGAGTCAAAATTAGATCCTGAACACAGAAAAGAAACGACGATAATTTTGGTGGTGAGGCGAAAGAGACGACTGTAGAGGAAAGTGAACAAGTTACAAATGAAGATTCAAATAATGAGGCAGAGGGATTAAAATATGATGGCTGTTGTGAACTAAATGACACAAGAAGCAAAAACATGAACGCGACAGAGGATGAGAAAGGAGGACAGAGGTAAATAACGAGAACTGGGAGGAAAACATGATGGTTCAAGACGAGGGGAATGACGTGATTGACGAGGAAGAAGGCGAAGGAAGACAGGAGAGAAGTATACTAATAGAAGAAGCGAATAAATTGAACGATGCAGAACAGATAATAGAAGCTGGAAATAAACTGGGAGATGACGTGGAGAACGAGGAAGTCAGGACGACATATGATGATGAGGAAGAAGATGGAGTAAATAATAAAGACAAGACCATCCACGTGGGATTTTGCTCAGAAGTTTTAAAAAAAAATCTGCAAGAGACTGAACTACTGAAGAAGGACGACCAACAAGAGGAGTCAGGAGATGATGGAGTAAATGGTGAGAAGAGAGATCATGGTACAGCTGATATCCCTCGTTGTGGACTTAAAGGTTTGAGCGCCAATGATGAGGTGATAATGACCTGTGGTAACAAATATAGGACCTCCCTTCACGACAGCCTCATTAATTTTTGTTATGGTGAGAGTGTGTTAGTTGGTACCCCTGACAAGAGCATGGAGCGTCGCTATGATTGTGACGTCATATCTGTCACCTCATCCGGTCCTACTAATGATGTCAGTGCCCGTGCTGAGTGTCTGGGTAAAACGTCTGTTGATGAGGTCGAACTTAGAAATGGATTTGAGGAAGAGGAAGAGTTTCAATGGAATAGAACAACAGTCAGAACTGAGAGTGATACTACTGTACGGAGGGGCGAAAAAGGTGGGCACTGGAGCCCTGGATGACATAATAGCTGAGGATGATTCTTGTTTTTACGCAGTAGTGACCGAGGCCAGTGTTAGTGAGCGACGAGCCAGTCTTACACCAGAGTGCCACGACGACAGTCGTTGTATTGAGTCTCTCAGAGTGCCACCACTTGGAGGAGTGTGAAACTGTCACTCAAGGCAGTGAAGGAACTTTGGAAACCCGGGAGTTCAACCAGGAAGAAGTCTTTCCTGAAACTATTATAAATGAACTCCAATTTAAGTCTGTTGGTGTCAGTCATAGTGATGATGATGATGATGAAGAAGAGAGAAAGTCGAGGCAAGTGTTGCGGAGGAGGAATATATCTGTGTGGTAAACGATGAACATCAGGAGACTAAACTTATTGGTTGTTGTGATGATGAACACCTGGTCAGCTTGACTCCCTCCCTGGAAGTTAATGTTGATCTTGACCCCTCATTAGTGGACACGTGTTTAGTAGGTGTCGAGTCACAGGATTCATTACCCTTGTTGCTTGATCCTTCCAGTGGAGAAGATAAACAAGAATCGTATGTGCCAGAGAACGGTGAAGCGGATGTTTTAGAGATAAGCAAAACTGAATATGAAGACGCCTGTGAAGCTGCAGAACGTCAATCTGTTGCTTTAAATTCTCCACACCAAACACAGCTCGCTGATCTGCTCGCCCAAGAAATCACTAATTACGGTTTTCATTGGAGACTGATGTGAGCAACGAGCACCACCATGATGCGAGTGAGCTGGTTGGTGTCAGAGTGACAGCTGGGGAGGAACTTGATCCATGGGTTAACCAGGCAGACAAGACACTGAGCCACACAGGAGGCGAGGAAGAGAAGCAACACCTTCACAGCTTAGACGAACACGTAGGTGATAACTCAGAGATACGAGAAGGAAGCGTTGAACACCAGCAGGGGTGTGAGGAGAGGTTCCTGACCATACCTGTGGTCATACAGAAGGAAGCAGTAGTGGTGATGAGAGTCGGGCAAGAGATGTCAGCACTGGCCGAAACGACAACTCTGACAGGGATCTCTGTGGGAATGTGACTCATCAGAAGAGATCAACTTCACTAGGGAGAGGTCAGAACGACGACTCGAGCGACAGTGGTGACGGCGTGGTCGTTCCACGTCGTGCTGGAGACGGAGACAGTGAAGATGACAAGGCAGAGGTTTCTGTGACCACAGAGGAAATTGTCATAAGAGCGGAAGTGGTAGGTACTGGAGAACAGAGTGACGAAGACGCTGAAGAACTCAGTGGTTATGTGAATGAAGAACAAAGAGTTGACTTGTCTGCAAAACAATATGTTGGCGTAACTGAAGAACACAATTGGGACGTAAATTATGAACAAAATATTGAAAATAGAGCTCAAATTGGTAAGGTAATTGAAAAAGAAAGTGGTGAGGAACAAATTGTTGTGGTAACTGAAGAACAAAATGGTGACGCAACTGAAGAACAAATTGAGGAGTTTGTAGAAGAACTAGAAGAACAGAGTAATAACATAACCAATGAAGAAGGCACTGACGAAGGTGAAGAACAAATTGAACATTTCGATAACGAAAAATTGTTTTAGAAGTAAAAAAAGAGGGTGGTGACGCAACTGAGGAACAGAGTGGTGACGCAACTGGAGAACAGAGTGGTGACGCAACTGAGGAACAGAGCGGTGACTAGCTGAGAACAGAGTGGTGACTTGGCTGAAGAACAGAGTGGTGACTAGCTGAGAACAAGTGGTGACAGCTGAGAACAAGTGGTGACTTGGCTGAGAACAGAGTGGTGACTGGCTGAGGAACAGAGTGACAGCTGGCGAGGAACAGAGTGGTGACAGCTGAGGAACAGAGTGGTGACTTGGCTGGAAAGTGGTGACTTAGCTGAGAACAGAGTGGTGACTTGGCTGAGGAACGAGTGGTGACAGCTGAACAGAGTGGTGACTTAGCTGAGGAACAGAGTGGTGACAAGCTGAGGTGGTGACTTAGCTGAGAACAGTGTTAGCTGAGGAACAGAGTGGTGACTAGCTGAGGAACAGAGTGGTGACCTAGCTGAGGAACAGAGTGGTGACAGCTGAGAACAGAGTGGTGACCAGCTGAGGAACAGAGTGGTGACCTAGCTGAGACAGAGTGGTGACTTGGCTGGGGAACAGAGTGGTGACTTGGCTGAGGCAGTGGTGGCTGGCGGGAACAGAGTGGTGACTAGCTGAGGAACAGAGTGGTGACTTAGCTGAGGAACAGAGTGGTGACAGCTGAGAACAGAGTGGTGACAACAGGAGTGGTGACTTGGCTGAGAACAGAGTGGTGACTGTAGAGACAGAGTGGTGACTGAGCTGAGGAACAGAGTGGTGACTTAGCTGAGGAACAGAGTGGTGACAGCTGAGGACAGGTGGTGTTGGCTGAGGAACAGAGTGTGACCTAGCTGAGGAACAGAGTGGTGACTTGGCTGAGGACAAGGTGGTGACCTAGCTGAGGAACAGAGTGGTGACCTAGCTGAGGAACAGAGTGGTGACCCTAGCTGAGGAACAGAGTGGTGACCTGGCTGAGGAACAAGTGAGGTGACCCTGAGAGCTGAGAACAGAGTGGTGACCTAGCTGAGAACAGAGTGGTGACCTAGCTGAGGAACAGAGTGGTGACCTGGCTGAGGAACAGAGTGGTGACTTAGCTGAGGAACAGGTGGTGACCTAGCTGAGAACAGAGTGGTGCTTAGCTGAACAGGAGAGTGACTGGCTGAGAACAGGTGGTGACCTAGCTGAGGAACAGGTGGTGACCTAGCTGAGGAACAGAGTGGTGACCTAGCTGAGGAACTGGTGGTGACCTAGCTGAGGAACAGGTGGTGACAGCTGATGAACAGAGTGGTGACTGGCTGAGACAGGTGGCTGAGGAACAGAGTGGTGACTTAGCTGATGAACAGAGTGGTGACTGCAGAACAGATTGGTGACCTGGAGAACAAATTGGTGATTCAGCTGTGGAACAGATTGGTGACCTAGCTGAGACAGAGTGGTGACAGCTGAGGAACAGAGTGGTGACTAGCTGAGGAACAGAGTGGTGACCTAGCTGAGGAACAGAGTGGTGACCTAGCTGAGGAACAGAGTGGTGACCTAAGGAACAGTTGGTGACCTAGCTGAGAACAGAGTGGTGACTTTGCTGAAGAACAGAGTGGTGATTCAGCTGAGAGGTGGCGATTCAGCGAGGGAAGATTGGTAATTCATGAGGAACAGATTGGTATTCAGCTGAGGAACAGAGTGGTGACCTAGCTGTGGAACAGAGTGGTGACCTAGCTGAGGAACAGATTGGTGACCTAGCTGGGAACAGAGTGGTGACCTAGCTGAGGAACAGATTGGTGACCTAGCTGAGGAACAGAGTGGTGACCTAGCTGAGGAACAGAGTGGTGACATAGCTGAGGATCAGAGTGGTGGTCAGCTGAGACAGATTGGTGACCTAGCTGAAGAACAGAGTGGTGACCCAGCTGAGGAACTGATTGGTGACTTAGCTGAGGAACAGATTGGTGATTTAGCTGAGGAACAGATTGGTAATTCAGCTGAGGAACAGAGTGGTGACTTTGCTGAAGAACAGAGTGGTGATTCAGCTGAGGAAGAGATTGGCGATTCAGCTGAGGAAGAGATTGGTGATTCAGCTGAGGAACAGAGTGGTGACCTAGCTGTGGAACAGAGTGGTGACCTAGCTGAGGAACAGATTGACCTAGCTGAGGAACAGAGTGGTGACCTAGCTGAGGATCAGAGTGGTGACCTAGCTGAGGAACAGAGTGGTGACTTGGCTGAGGAACAGAGTGGTGACCTAGCTGAGGAACAGAGTGGTGACCTAGCTGAGGATCAGAGTGGTGACCTAGCAAAGGAACAGATTGGTGATTCAGCTGGGGAACAGATTGGGGACTTAGCTGAGGAACAGAGTGGTGACCTAGGTGAGGAACAGAGTGGTGAATCAGCGGAGGAACAGAGTGGCGACGTAGATGGTGAACACAGTATTGTAACTAAAAGAGACAAGGATGACCTCCTGGAAGAGCCAAGTGGAGGAATAAGTCGAGAAGAAGAACACAGAGGTGACGTAACTGCAACAGAGGAGACAACTGCTTGTAAACAACTAAGTATCGTCGGTGCTGAAGGTGCTGACGTGACCAACAACGACATGTGTGAAGTCAGTAACCGAGACTCCGGCACGAGCTGTCTGAGTGAGGTGGACGATGTGAGCGACGATGACACCCTGGTGGGGCTCAACAGTGACGGCGACGGAGTGGTCCTGAGTGGCACGGAGGAGGGCGGCAGTAGCAGAGGTAGCGGTGAGGGGTTCCTAAGGGCCCACAGGAGGGATGACAGTGGTATCGAATTGGGCTCCTATTCTCAGGAGCATGAAAGCTGTCGTCACCAGCCGGATGACCGCCATCAGTCTGAGGAATTAGATAATAGTAAACGAAGGAGAAGCAGCGATGGCTACCCGAGTGAAGAAAATGAAAATGAGGTGATGAGAAACAATGAGATTGAATTTCCGCGTGATGAGGCCGATAATATTAGTGTGCTAAGTGAGATGAGTAACCCTCCTCCTGAATGGGTTCATGTGAGAGAGGGGGAGGAGGGTGGTGAACCCGGTGGTAGGATATTTAGGAGGAGCCGCAACCACCAGTTTAGGATCGGCAGGAGGTTCACAAGTCAGAAGATGCTGAAGAAGATGAAGAAAGCAGTCCATTTTGGCAAGAAGGGTGAAGACGACGAGAGGGACGTGGAGGTCCACCACACCAAGCTTCTGCAGGAAAGGTAAATAAACTTCTCGTTTGTTGTCAATTTGAGGTCAATCTCTGGCCTCAAGTACTACCTAGAAGCTGTATGGATGTCTTGCTTGAAGCTATTTAACTCTTGGATATGTTGGTCTACCGGCTTAGCCCCTTACGTACGAAGACTTAACCCCTTGAATACGATGGTTTAACTCCTTGAGTACGACGGCTTAACTCCTCGAGTAAAGTCACTTAGTACGAGGACTGAAACCTTTAAGTGCAATGATAATCCCCTGAATACCATATCTAATCCTTGAAATACGATGACCAATTTCCTGGAAGAGATACCGCCGTACTCAAGAGATTATCACCCGTATTATTAAACAACATCTTCCCTTGAAGAGGGTCGTCGTGTTTCAACCCGAGTTTTAAACTAAATGAGTCCTGAGGGACACCGCAGTAATTAATTTTATTGGAATTAGTTAATCTTACCACCACACCATCCCGTTAAGTACTGTACTGCGGTGTTCCTCAGGACTCATTTAGTTTAAAACTCGGGTTGAAACACGACGACCCTCTTCAAGGGAAGATGTTGTTTAATAATACGGGCGTAAGTCCTCATAGTAAAGGAGTTAATATTTGCCGGAGATTTATTATTATTATTATTATTATTATTATTATTATTATTATTATTATTATTATTATTATTATTATTATTATTATTATTATTATTATTATTATTATTATTATTATTATTATTATTATTATTATTATTATTATTATTATGCTTCAGTAGGGATATTAGGTACACAGTGTGATGAATTATGGTAAAAAATTCAAGTGCCCGTGTGTGTGTGTGTGTGTGTGTGTGTGTGTGTGTGTGTGTGTGTGTGTGTGTGTGTGTGTGTGTGTGACAGTACAGACATACTCATTAATAACAGTAAATGACAACTCGGTTATTGTAGTACATAGTGATGAACATAATAAGTGACAGGCCAGTTATGGACATAAGCAACAGAGGGTGAAAGTAACTCGGCCTCGGTGAGTAGCTGCAGTAACCCAGAAAAGTGGACGATTACGGAATTAAATTATAGAAACTGGTAGTACATAACCATCCATTACCGTGACTGTGGCAACATAACACACGATGGACCATAACAATTACGGTAAGTTAATCATTCTTGGGCCAGTTACTATATAGGTGACATCATCCAGTCATGATCAACAGCTAACTGAACATATTGAGCCAGAGACCGTAATATAACAGTCACCAGTACACAGTCATTGATATTAAGGGTAGTGAGTGGCAGGTGTGTGTGTGGGGGGGAGGAGGTGTGGAGAGGACGGTGTTACTGCCACCGTCTTATACAACTTTCCTGCCAGTTATAACCACCACAATAACTCTAAACCCTCTCATGTTGGTGGAGGGTAAGGAGGATGAGAGGGAGGAGTGATGAGGAAGGAGAGGGTGGTGACAGATTGGTAGACTGAGTGGTGAGGATATTGAGTAAGGAAAGTGAGGCACAAAGGTGGATTGGTGGTGAAAGTGGATGTGGACTGATGCTGATAGTGAGTGTGGTGTGGTGGTGAGAGTGAGTGTGGTGTGGTGGTGAGAGTGAGTGTGGTGTGGTGGTGAGAGTGAGTGTGTGGGTGGTGAGAGTGGGTGTGGAGTGGTGGTGAAAGTAGCGATAGCATGCGAAATAACGATTAGTGAGTGGTACAGAAACTATCAAGTGGAGAATGAGATTAAGAGCTCCGACAGCCATATGGACACCTCATACAGTGCTGGGTATCGTAGGGAGAGGTTAGGTTAGGCTAGGTTAGGCTAGGCTAGGTTAGGTTAGGTTAGGTTAGGTTAGGTTGGGTTAGGTTAGTAGACACAGTTAGGATGAGTGAGAGAGTTTAATGGGGCAACAGATAGATTTCACACCGGACATGACTTTATCAGAGTATTCATCCTTATCTATGAATAGAAACTGACAGGTGTTGTCATAATGTTATTACTACGCCTCAACAACGAAGGTCTTTAAGCGTGTAACAAGGTTAGTCCAATAACATTAACAAGTCATGCGAGATGGAACTCTCTTTTAACTGCTCTTGCCTCAGGTGTTGTGGTTGACAGTACTCCTTTACATAACGTCTCAATTAACCTCATGCCCATCCTCGTACACTCACATTTATACCAATATTCAGTCTCATGTACTCACACTTACATCATACTCACGCTCATACACTTATATATTCATACTTGTGCTCATAACACTTATATACACTCATACTTACACCCACACACTCACAATTATGTACTCATACTCTCGCTCATACACACTCACACGTTAGTCACTTGTTTGCCTCTCTAACTCGCTATGTTTCCAGTTATGTCATAATTATGCAACACACTTTAACCTTGTTTTCCTATTAATATTTATTTTATACGTCACAGTCAGCCAAACATCATACTTACATCAGCACGTCAGCAAGTCAGCATACTCACGTCAGCACGTCACACTTGTATTCCTTCAAGCCACATTTATCCATGTGGTCGGATACATCAACGCGTCACACTGAGGTATACAGACTCACATATTACGTTGACATTCACACACACACACATCACGGTGGCATTCACACAGACACGTATAGTTGACATTCACTTGTCACATTGCTCCACACGTCATACACACCCACACGTCGCAGTAAACATTCTCACGTTGTTCTCTCTCACTCCCACTTTCACGCGTCACCTTCCCACACGTTACACCTCGTCACGGTTACACACTACATATCTATATAAATTCCATCCTTTTTTTTTTCAACCTCAGGAAGTTGAGCACCAGATGGTAATGAACTAAACTATAGTACAGAGTGATCGAGAAGTCCCTGTGCACCTGCTGTAATTAACAATGCATGTTCTTTGTTATACCTAAGCTGTTATTTACCTTGTTCAACTTACAGTAAATATTGGAAATGGTCACAGTAAGTGTTGGAAGTGGCTACCATTTCCAATATTTTCTCTAAGTAGAACAAAAGTATATAACAATGTAGGTATAACAAGGAACAACTATATTGTTAATTATTGCAGATACACAGGGACTTTTCGATCACTCTGTTCTTTACAACGTGATAGGGATACAGGACCCGGGATTAACAAGCTTTAGTGCTCTCTGGTCAAATGGGCCCCAACCTATTAGGATTGTGGTGCAGTCCTAATGGGCCTCCAACTTCACTGCGATGATTGTGGTCCAGTTCTAAAGGAGGTTTAGTCCCATTAGACTCCAGTCTTGTTAGATAGGTTGGGGCTCATCACGACTGGGGCCCATTTACCTGCAGCCGGAATTGCTTGGGCGTGTGCACTGTGTAGTAGACAAAACACTCTCTCTCTCTGCTTCCCCTTCCCTTGTTACTCTCTGATACAAACGTTTGATGTGATGGTTTAAAATGTGTAGTTAAGATGATAACTACACGCGAAGTTATCTTGTCATGGGTTATTTTCCTCCCTCTATATTCCTTTACATAACCACAATCAAACTTTTTCTAATCAGCATCAACCCAGACACAGTGATTCCCGTACAGCAGTTTCAAGATATGACGCATTAACATGTAATTAGGGCTTAGGTTGTGTATTTTTATCTTAATTGAAAAGTATATAGTATAACCCGTGCGTGTGTGCAGGAGTATACCATCCCCTCCTCCCACGAGTTACTGTAGCTCCTCAGAGGGCAGGACGAGTGTCTGGATTCTGGCAAAGGGCACTATTTCCTTTTGTGCGACGGGAACGATGGCAAGTAAACAGACAAGAGGCTAATTACTAACGACTGAGCCTTTGTGTAGCAGCTCGTGATTGTTGCGGCTGCTCGTCGCCTCCTCCCTTGTATTTGGTTCCCTCTCAGCTGTTGTGTTTCTCGTCCTCGTGAGGTTTTTGTGCTCTAGTGTTAGTTTTGTGTAGATTACTTCGATTGTAATCTCTCTCTCTCTCTCTCTCTCTCTCTCTCTCTCTCTCTCTCTCTCTCTCTCTCTCTCTACCCTCACTCGCCATGGTGTAGAATTTTGGGAGTTTGGAGCAACACACACACACACACACTGTCAGTCTGCCCTACCACCCTCCCTCCCTCTCTCCCTCGTTGTCAATTCATTCTCTCTAACTGCCAGACCAGAAGTTTCCACTTTATTAGTCCCCTCCGTGAAATTGGAGGGGACTGTAGGATTGTTCTCCGCCTCTGTCTGTCCTTCTGGCCTCAGTTTTCTGTTAAATCATCAAAACTCAAAAATTATTGCAGATTTTGTAATCAAGCTTCGGAGGTTTAGAACATAATATGAGGCAATTAAGGCGTTGAGTGGTAGGGTTTTCTCTCAGCTGAATAAAATACCCAAGTAATTTTAATGTCTCCTGAATTATATTAAAATACCCGTATAATCAACTGGTAGATCCTTGTGGCGTATAACTTGTTCAATTCGTTGTTAATATAGACTCTTATCATCACTACCTTGTGTCTAAGTTACAATGGTGAGGTTTTTATTAATTGTGACGGGGACCCCTGATGCACCACCTGCCTCACTACCTTCATACTCATAGTAAGTCTGAAGATATACACAAATACACCTGATGATGACATTAAACAGGGATAATGTAGAAGCGGAATCATTATTATATTAGTTACTGATATATAATGAATCCACTTCTACTTTCAGACATTGGGAAACTCTTAATGTTACTTTCCACTCTTCTGCACGTCTAAATAAATATAACGTAACTTAACCAAGCCTATCGTAGGTAACTCAGTAATCAAACCTTCCCCACATGTAGACTAACTTAACCAGAACGTTACTTATTGCACATACAGTACATTTGAACAATTATTGTAACGAATGTATGAACTATATAACGATGTTCTCTCTCTCTGTCACATTTATTTGCAGCGTTCTGTGCGGTATAGCGTGGCAATATGACCATTAATGTAACCATCTCACCTGTCCAGTTTGTGCCTGTCTCGGTGAGTTGTTTTCCGTCACTGATCCTTCACCACACACATATATCAAACACCA